TTTCATATACCATTATTAATAAGGCATATATTGGATCAAATATCCAATTTATTTATTTAAAAATTACCAGTATTTCATATGGCTGAACGCCAACCTTTATCAAGGTAATATAACATATTTAAATATGTCATTTAACATTTAATGTGTGTTTTCATATTTCGTTTATAAATATATAGGAATTATTCCTCTATATATGCATTTTAATAATGGAAACATTTTACCTTTAATCTGTTTTCCTTTCAATACGTTCTGTAACGAAAGAAGCGACATTTACAATGATTATTCACTCTATCGTTCTTAATAATTATGGAAAGAGAAAATATTAATAAGAGTGGAATAAAATATTCATAAAATGTGAACTTGCCACGCCCTATGTATATATACATAAATAATACATTTATCTCCTAGTGTGTGTATTTTCCAATTAATCCACTTATAGTACTCTACCTTCGTTGAATATTAAATCAAGTTCGAATGGATTTCATATTCAAATACGTCTGTCTCTCTATGTAATGGTGTAATCCTTGATCTTTTCAGTTGGTCTCGAGGACCACACCATCACCATCTCTTCAGCCGTGAAGTACGCGATCTATGTATTCTTTGTAGATCGCGAAATACGTTGTGTCGCTGGAGACTCGCTGGTGATTCTCCACCAAACTCTGCAGCGGTGTTAGAGGCGCCATATTCATTATACATAGTGTATATAATGCATGTATATAATTATCCTTTTTTAAATAGTGCAGACTGTGCACTTTGCATTTATTGACAAGATGTCAATAAAATTATTTCAATTTTCATTTGTCTATGTAATATATATAATTATCTTTATTTTTTACTATCTGCTAATCACTAATGACAGTATGTTTCCATATGGCATTGATAGAATACAAAAACAAAAAAATCTAGAAAATATTTTTTTCAATATTTTTACGTTAAAAATAGATATGTGTCTTTATCCAATTGAAATATTTTAACTTTCGGAATATATTTTTTTTCATGAATATTTACCTAATATTTGTCTTCGTAATATATTATTTCTTTACAATTTTACTTCTTTTGAAAAGATTCACCATTGATTTATATTAATGTTACGGATTTATTTTATGAATGCACTCATGGACAAAACTTGAATAAGTGGTAGTCATTTTATTGCCTGTCGTCTGTTTTTTTTTCATTTTTTTTTTGAAGGAGACGCTGACAATTTTAATATTTTATATACAATTAATATTCCCATCTGTAACTTTGAGAGAGAAATATGAATAAAAATATAAAACAATAATATAAGCATTAATAAAATAATAAGATATATTTGGAACAATAATAATAAAGGCATCATCAACTTTTAGGTGCCATTCCAGAAATTTCTTTATATTTTATATAAATTTATGGACAAAACTTGAAGATGCTGTTCCTTTTAGCATGTATATCAGGATTCAGACAATAACTCTAAACGATATTTGATACACAGTGACCTTTATTGAAAACACACGAGATAACCAAGTGTGAACAAAGTTGTCTCTGTCTCCTTATAAAATAGTCTACAAGGAGACAGACAACTTTGTTCAAACTTGGGTATCTTGTGTGGCTTCAATAAAGGTTATTGTATATCAAATATCTTTCAGAGTTATTGTCTTAATCCCGATATAAAAAGCAGATGACATAAGATATTTCTAAAATCCTATAGTTTTGTCCATGAGTGTATTTTATCAACCTCATCATAGTAAAATATCACTGAGTAATTTTCGAAAATTATCTATATGTTAATGAATCAGATTTTCGATTTGGAATTTAAACTCAAGAAATATTATCCTTTAGTTTGTTTTCAAATTCTATAAACGTGTTAAAAACGCTATAGAATATACAATATACTATAAAACGTGCAGAAGAGAGTTCAAAATTCAACAAAAATTAATATAATTATTCTTAGTCTAATTCCATACCCATTTTCTGCGACGGTTTAAAAAGATACACTAATAATAATTTGGTATTACTAGTTATTT